TATATATATATATATATATATATATATAAAATTGAGAATAAAAAAGGGATTCCGCATGTCTTCCATGTGTCTTAATTTATTTTTTTCTAGAAATATTTAGAGATTTGACCAAAGCTGTTTTTTGATTTGGACTTCAAAGAAAGCCATAACGAAAACAAGCTAACACTGAAGTATTGCGTAGAAGGCCAACATATTGCCTGTGCAGTGGTTTGTACTTAATATAAGCTAAGTCACTACATACTATTGTTGCTCTACATCATACATTCTAAAAGTATTTTTTTTCTTATTTTTCAGGTGGAAACACGTATCATGGTCTAATCAAAGCTCGCTAAACTCGCTCGTCTTTGTAATTTTACTCAGGCGCGACGGACAGCACGTAAACTCTCACAGGACCTTCTTAAAGCGGTGATTGTAGGAAAATTGCTGCTACGACTTCGAAAACAGAGAAAGAGACAGACAATAATTAGAGACTGCTCAGTTTATGTGTAAATTGTTTTTTTTATTTAAACAGGTGTTTTTGTTTTTTCTTTAAATTAACCCCCACAGTAGTAGCGTGTTGACTAAAAAAATACTGAAATAGCCCGACCGGCTTGGTTTGATCCTCGCTGGGTGGGTTTTATCCCCGGCTAGTTGGTTAGCCGGCCAGGCAGCTAACTAACGTGAGCACCCAGCGATCCTCGCATCATTTAACTCAGTAAGTGTCTTATTTTTAGGGTTGTTTATTATGGAAAATGTTCCAAATATTTAACTGCCTATAAATAATAATTCTTTAATTCTACTTTGAATATAAATTATACGATTGTATCTATATAAACTTGACCAACGTATATCTGTGCTAACTTAACTGTTTCCTGTGATATTTAAATGTGTTTATTTATTGATACCGTTTAATATGTGTATATATATATATAATCAAACGGTATATTAAACAGTTTTTTGTTATTTCCACACGCTACAGGTAGCTAATTATCCCAAGCCTTTTGTCATTTCTGGTGATTGCGGTGACACTTCACTAGGCTCAAGCTGACATCTATTAACTAATTGGCACGCGACATGAATGGAAATAGTTTTCACGAATTCATGAAGTAAATCTTATTTCAAATTATTTAGATGGCTTATATTAAGGGTTAAATTGAATAACTTATTAAAGTTTACCGGTATTGTTTGCTAGCAGTAAAGTTAAACTTTTCTAATATGTATGAGTTAATTCAAAGCTCAAAGGGGGTAGGCTAAAAATTATGCACTTTATTTACAAGGGTTAAAATAAAGGTTAAGTAATTGAGCTTTTTTAATCTCATAATGGAGAAATTAACCTCTGCATTTAATCCATCCCCTTGTGGAGCAGTGGGCTGCCACTCTGAGTCGCCCTGGGAGCAATCAGGGGGCAAAGGTCTTGCTCAGAGACCCAGAGTGGCAGTGTAATGTGGGAGGAGGGCTTGAATGCAGAACCTCAGGATTCCAAGCTCTATGCCCTAACCATTAGGCTGCCACTCCCCCTAATTATTCATTATTATTTTTCAGTGGTGTCAAAAGTACACTCATTTGTTACTCAAGTAGAAGATATACAGTATAAAAATACTGGTAAAAGTTGAATTATCAACTTGATCTCTTTGCTCAAGTAAAAGTGAAAAAGCATAAAGCAGCCAGATGCCACTATATGAATTGAATACTAAATTTTTCGGCTACTTTGAAAAAATTCTTTGAGATAGGGCCAAGGATAAGGGAGGTCTTGTGGGTCTATGTCTCTCGATACGCTCTTGTTTGTG